AAGTACATCCGATGTCCCTTCAGTGTCTGAATGTTTCTCCATGTAATGAAACAATCTGACAAATCAATGCTTGGATTGATAAAAACAGGGAGGTTACAGCCTGACTCAATTGAGAAAATGTATGCGCATGAAAAAATATTTAGTTTAAGATCACTGCAGCTGCATCGTTTTTCAAGCTACAAAATGGTATCACTTTTCTTCAAAGTACATGACAAACGTTGACTGTTTGACAGTTAAGGTAAAAGGAAAGCACAAACTGACTGCGTATTTAGCTCAGCTCTGCGACATTAATTTGGTGAATCCTCTAATGTTTGCACATCGGCTGATATTTTCCAGGACGTTGTGGACACAAGTTGAAGCTTCAGTGGGCAGTTTTGCAGTTTGGCATTGCAAAGCAACAGTGACTGTACACAGTGATTGTAGAACAATCCCCATTAATCATGTCTGTAAACTAAAAGGAAGCTAAATGCCTTCATCTTTGTGTGTGTTGGGGTGGGAGGTGGTAAAGAGGCTCAGTCACTGCTGATGAGCTCAGCTTTCTCTGGAGCAGCATTGATTCTCTGCCCTTTAGGAGAGTGCTCTTATCACAAACTGGAACTTAATTCCTAACTCGTTGTATTTAATGCTTTGGAAACTAACCAGCTATTGATAGCAAAATCTCTTAAGGGGGAATAACGTTGATAGCAATCCTAGCCATGTTGTCCGCTGGTTTAAAAAAAGGAAAAGCATCCTGCATCTTATCAGCTTAGTCTAGCTTCATTTGAGAAATATGAAGAAATGAAATTCTGTAAACAGGTTTAAAATAAAAGGCTCATTTCCAACTCTATCATTTTATTCTTGGCCTCTACAGGAATAGTTTTACATAATTCAGAATTAATAGTAGTCTTTATTTATCCTACAGTCGGCCTTTGAATCAAGCCATTTTAGCTTCTCTTTCTTTAAACCAGCTTTCCTCTGATTGGCTGCCCCTCACAGCTAGTATTGACCATATTAGTGATATCTGCTCTCTGACATCATATATTGCTGATACTTTTTCGAAAAAAATGAACTTGAGAATTTAGAGCAAGCTGCAGCGTGGATTACACTAACTTCATTATTTGGCATGCTGGTTACGTTTAACGTTAGCATGCAACATCGCAATTATATACATGTGACAGAAAACTAAGAGAACCATAATAGTTGCCATTAATTTTCATTTCTTCTCATATCTTTTACAGTAAATAGCTGTTGCACTATTGCAACCACATAAAAAATGTTATGAACTGCTGATAAATACTGTAACTAACTGGAGGTATGTCTCTGTGGGTGAATAGTGAAGCTTGAAATACCTGTCAAGCCAATTACCAAAGTTGTTGTTGATGTTTTTTCAGGCTTGAAGCTCTAGCCTACCCTTATATTTAACTAGAACTCATGTAATTCTACCAAATACACCAGTGAAACTTACCTAAATATACCGTACCAGGATTAAGGATGAGGAACAAAATAAGTTTTGACAAACACATTAATACTGTCGTTAAAACTAGCTGCTTTTATCTCACAAAAGGGAAGCTATTCCTCTGTTTCAGAGACTTTTGAGAGAGCAGATGATGTCTTTATTTTATCTCGAGTTGATTATTGCAATAGTTTGCTTCAGGTGTCGGTTTGTCTCTGTTTAGCCGACTGCAGCTGGTCCAAAAACACTTCAGCACGGTAATTAAAAGGCACATGAAAGTGAGATTACATATGCATGGCATGTGTTGGCACCTTTTTACACTCTCTGATCATTTAAGTTTGCACATTTCCTCTATATCCCTGAGGTCTGTTGAGCGAATGCTCCTAGCTGTCCCGAGGCCCAGAGGAGATCGGGCGTTTGCAGTTGCTGCTCCGAGACGGTGGAACAAAGTGCCCTTTCACATGTGGACGTCTCCAGCATTAGCCGCTTTTATTCTTCAGCAGAGTTCTGCATAGTTTTATTTGAGTTGTTTTACACAACTTTTCTCACTTTTATGTTTTCATTCTTAAACTCTGTCATTTTGTCTTGCGTTTCATGATATTTGATAATTTAAGGAGTACAGAAATTTGGTCAACAGCTGTAACTTTTAAGTGTTCCCTAGAAATAAACCTCACCACATTGTACGACAGTTGCGCAGCTGTGTCCCAAATTGCAAACTTCCAACTTAGACTTGCTATTTTGGGTAAATAATAGGGGTGCAACGATACTCATATCGATATTGAACCGTTCGATACAGTGCTTTCAGTTCGGTATGCATATGTATGAACAATACCAATTTTTTTATTTATTTTATCAACTTTTCTTCTGACGATGCTGTTTGTGTTGAGCGCTCAGTGGATCTGCGTTCGACTACTCCGCCTAGGCTGCACTGTCGAGTGCAGATCCACTGAGCGCAGCGCAAGCTAGCAAGACAGAAGCTAAGCTCGTTGCAACATGGCAACTGCCTACCCGAAATTGAACCTCCCCCACCCTCATTCAGATCTGGCGTTTGGAACTAT